GATGAAATGAAAGTCATGTTGTATCCATGATAAAAATTTCAAGCACTATGAAGAGTATGAAGAAGAAAGATAACACTCCACTCCTCTCCCCGCCCCTCACCTACAAGTCACTAGACTATCACCGTGTGACATGAGCTCTTTGGTGCTCACCGCTCACTGCCCATGAGCCAAAACTTGAGTGTCAGGAATTGGTGGAAGGAAATCAGGTTTAGTGCGAAGCAGTCTTCTGTCACTAGGCCGTCTTCCTAAAGTGGGGAGAAGCAGGGGCTTATATGGGGGATCCCCGAGGAAGGTGAGAGGCTGAAGTGTCTGCAGCAGCAAGACTCCAGAGAAACAGGCACGGCTTCCCCAGAACTGTACCCACACTCCACCTGCTTCCAAATTTGATCTTGACCGGGTCTGTCTGGTGCTGGCGGGCCTGCTTTCTGCTGTGGTCTTGGATCTGTGGCCTAACCTTTGTCTTATTTCTACCCCCCTCTTGGTCCCCACTGGTTTTGCCTGGTTTTCTGTGCAGGAACAGATAAACAAGAACATGGCCAGGATCAACAGGGCAAGGGTGAGGAATTCACGTCCACCAGGCGGGTGATATTTCCCTCCTCTGTCTGAACTCTGCTGCCCATTCCTGAGGGACAGTGGGGGGAGATCCATCTTCTAGAACTACTTCCTTCTTGGGGATCCACAGAAGACCAGAGATTTCTAGTTAACTTGAGACAAGACCGGCTGTCACAGGTCGTCACAATCCTAATCTCAGGCGTTTATGCCCTTGAGTTACAATTATTTGGACGTTTGAATGTCTCCAGACTTTTGGAGACAAAGGGACCGAATGACTCAGGAGTCAGGGGTCAAAGTTCAAAAGAAGTAAATACTTTATTATAACAAGGGCCCAAATAAAGGTCCCACCCGTCCAAACCGGTTCGAAAAGACTTTGTTTTGAATCAAAATCCAGGACAGGTTTCAGCCTTTCAGGCTGCCCCACCTCTGGGTGGCCTGTTCCTTCTCTATGTTCTCAGCTCCCAGTTGCGCTCAGCTCAATGTTATTATTGCACCTGTAGGTACAAGCCTCAATGAGAACGTTGGGTAAGTTTTTCTTCTTTTGTGCTCTTTAAAGTCTGAAAGTAACTTAAGCATTTAATCTCGATTATAGTTGGGTGGCTGGCGTATCTCTGTACATCTGCATAGGGAAGGCTGGCAGGCTGGCGAAACGAAAGAGACACATAGAAAGAAGAAAACATTAGGAGAATGGGATCATACTCCATATGATCATGCTCTTGTGGCAGTAAGATGATCACATTTTAATTTATTCAAGTGTATCAGCAGAAGAAGGAAATGAAGTGAAGAAACTAAGCTATCACAAGAGACAGTGGTTCCTGAGGAGCGCCCTTCCAAAGTGAAGAAAAGAAGTTATGAAAATCACTAAGTGGTTAAGAATTATTTAGGGAATGACTATCTTGTGGTAAAGTCATAGTTTGCTCGTTTCAAGATTCGGTGTGATAGCACAGATTGACTCCTAATCATGACAAAGGAGGAAGTTAGGTCGCCTACCTCCTGTCTTCTACTTGGCTTTTATTCTTTTTGTTTTTTTTTTTAAAGATTTATTTATTGATGCATACAGAACCGGGGTACAGGCCAGAGGTGCAGGGGTGAGAGGATTCCCCAGCGACAGAGCGGGGAGCAGAACAGGCGGATCCACTGAAACCCACTGCTGAGGCGAGCAGCGGGGAGACAGGAGAGGTCTGCCGCGTCCTGTGAGTCAGCTCCCTGGCCGGGATTGAACTTGTGCTGAAGAGGCTGTGGCGAGCTTTGCAGTGCTGTGCTTTAACCTGTTGTGCCACCAGGGAGGGGCCTGACTTTTATTCTTTACATTATTTTCACTTTGTCACGTCTATGATGTTCATGTTGCCAGCTGTCACGGCATGTCCCTGGGAATGTTAGTTTTATTTTTTACACTTATTCACCGGGCACCTTGAATACATTCACCAAAGCTTCTCCATCTTGAATTTATTATTTTGACTCACCATTTGATTGGTTAGATTTCATTGATGTGAGTTTGCCAGGAAAGATTCATCTTTGCATACTTCTTGACTGTTTTCCTGTTTGAGAGTATCTGCTGTCTTATACTTAAGTGACAACTTGGGTAGGTGTAATATCATGCCTTTGGCAGCCTTTACCAGAATTTTGTAGACATCAGCGCAGGTTTCTTGTAGTTAATTTGCTGTGGAGGGGTCTACTGTCAATCTTCCTTTCCCCCCTTTGTAGGTGACTGTGAGAAAGGATTCTTTTTATTGCCAAAGATCAAAACATTAGCCAGAATATACCTTGATGTTAATTGTTTGGAAACAGCTCTTCTTGGTATCTGGTATGTTCTTTGTATGTCTTTCCTTCATTTCAGGGAAATCATCATGGACGTTTACCTCTGCCTCTGTCTATTTCTTTCTTTCTTTTTTCTTTTTTAAAGATTTATTTATTCATACAGAACTGGGGTACAGGCTGGAGATGCAGAGGGTGAGAGGTTTCACCAGAGGCAAAGTGGGGAGCAGAACAGGCAGATCGACGAAGCACACTGCTGAGGGGAGCAGCGGGCAGGTCAGGAGAGGTCTGCTGGGCCATGTGGGTCACCTCCGGGGCAGGCGGGAATCGAACTCATGCGGAAGCGGCTTTAGGTTCTCAGTGCTGTGCTTTAACCAGCTGCGCCACCAGGGAGGGCCCGCCTCTGTCTATTTCAATCTGTCTCCTTCTCCTCTGTTTCTCCAACTACATCTTAGTATTAACTTTTGGAGCTCCAGTGATACTTATGTTTTATTGGCTTTGCCTCTCCTCCTTGTCTATCATCTTCTTTAATTGTATTAATAATTTGGTCTTTTTACTTTGCATTCACTGGCAGGTCTCATTCTTTATGCCATTAACATAATTTTCTGTCTAGTCACTTCTGTACCACCTGCACCCCTGGATACTGGCAATTTCTTTTTTTAAAAAAACATTTTTAAAAAGATTTATTTATTTATGCATACAGAACTGGGGTACAGGCCAGAGGGGGAGGGGTGATGAGAGGATTCCCCAGAGACAGAGTGGGGAGCAGAACAGGCAGATCAATGAAGCACACTGCTGAAAGGAGCAGAGGGTGGCACAGGAGAGGTCTGCTGCGCCATGCGGGTCACCTCTGGGGTTGGGGGTAGAACTCACACCGAGGCGGTTGTGGCTAGCTTGTGTTGTGCTTTAACTAGCTGCGCCACTAGGGAGGGCCCCCAAAATAGAACTTTGTCCTCTTAAAAATGAGCCCCTCATTTCATCTACCACACCCCCAGTCTTTGGCAACTGCCATTCTTCTCCCTCTCTATGAATATGGCTCTCTGTCTTTATGAAGTTCACATAAGTGAGACAACATTTATTCCTTCGTGACCTGCTTATTTCACTTAGCATAATGTCTTCATTGTGCATCCACATTGTAAGCTTGTGTCTCCTTCCTGAATAATCTTCCACTGGATGGACTTGGCATATGCTGCTTATCTATTTATGTCCATTTGTAATGGATACTTGGGTGTCAGCTTGCTTCTACTTTCTAGCTCTTGGGAATAATTCTGCTGTGAATGTGGTTATGCAACTATCTGGTGAGTCTCTGCTTTCAATTCTTTTGGGCTTATACCCAGAAGTGGAATTGCTGGATCATGTGATGATTCTGTGTGTGTGTGTGTGTGTGTGTGTGTGTGTTTTGCTGAATCTTGAATGTTAACATTTGAAATTGATTTTGTATCTGAAAGACCTCTGGGGAGCCTGAGGGCCTAACAGGAGGCAGAGTGCAGCCGGAAATGGATGCTGTGCTTAGTGCAGGCAGATGTTTAGTTTCCCTTCTGTCAGATGTATGTCCTGCTTCCTAAAAAGGGGTGTACCCCAAGTCTGGTGTTTCTGCTACCCCAAGTTCACTACTGTAGGGAAACAGATGAGTCTGCTCTGATGTTTTTAAGGGTCAAGCCTGGAAGAGGTTTATCCTCACTGCTGTCCACATCCCATTAGGCAGAACTTGGTCACATGATCCAAAACCAACCACAG